ACGGAGGACGGAGAAATACGATCACTGCCTGTCTTGTCACTGTCTGTCTCAGCAAGACTAGCCGAAACGCCACCACACCGGTGTGATCTCCACAGGAAGAGAGTTGGGTTAGGAACTAAACTATCCCAGCTTGTATGAGGGGTGAAAATATATATATCCATATACATGCGCACCAGTACCTCAAATGCCTTACTAGCGCCTGACAACACCTCTAAGATCTGACCAACCTCTGACATTACGCCTACAATATCCATAGACTTACAATAGTTACACAGGCATCAGACACGCGTGGCTCAGGTGTAGCGTAGGTGTGGCAATTAATTGATTTGTTTTCTGTCAGTCGAAAAATTGATTTATTGACTAATGTAGCTCTAGATCAGTGATTCCCAAAGTGTGGTGCATGGGGTGCGTGAGCTGCCTCTAGGGGGTGCGTGACAGGAAAACTGTAATGGTGGTGTAGTAGTGTAATAACTACAGTAATACTATTTGTGGATTTTTTCATGAAATAAAAACCTGAATTGAAAACTTTCCTTTGTAAATTTAATTTAAAATTAAAAACGTTATGAGATTAAGTATTAACGAATGAGATAAAGTTTTTACTGCCACTGTTACTTTTTAAAATAATGAAAAGGCTATAACGTTACATTGCGATGCAGTATTGCAGTGACAGAGAAGATCGATGCATGCTGTGTTTAAGCGTAGTGAGTGTGTAAGGGGAGAGCGACTGATTTAAAAACCGTCACTTTCAAGAGTGTCACTGAGTTAAACCCCATAGAAGTGATTTCGGGTCATGTTCTCACTGATGTAACAGAGACACTGCGCTGCTTGTCATCATAGAAACAGGTCATCATATTTTGATGTTTATTGCACTTTCAGTAGTAATATCGGCAGCCTTCCCTTCAACACACAGCTCCGCTGCTCACCGGAGCAAAGTATTGATAGGCTGTTATTTGCGACGTGTAACCAATCAGTACTGTCGGCGGGACATTGAGTAAATAAATAAGTAAATAAATAACTAAGTGAAAGCACTCTCTGCTATTTACATAACGGCAAACTTCATATCTCTATCACATTAAAGATTGGATGCAGTCTGTGTTAAAACAGTTGTTATAGTTGTGATTAGAGTCACCTGAGGTTGTCTATACGTGTGAGTCCTTTAGACTGGACCTGTTCAAGGTGTACCCATCGCCCTGTGTCTGTTGGGATTTGAAACCAAAGTGCATGAATATATTAGTCTGGCTTTATTCAGCTAATAAAGTCACACTCGGGGGGCTCAGGTACATCACTTAATATTAAGCAAAGGTGCATTCCACAGTACATTACTTGCAAATGCACTTTGCTGAAAACAATAATTTTCCATTTTTTAGTTTGCAAACAGCAAGTGTTCCTCGCTGTACCAGATCTATAATTCAGAGAGGAGGACATGACCACGCTAACGCGGTTTAATGAAGCAGTGAATCTGACTATGATTCATGTTCTTGGAGCGTTTGCCTTTTTAGCTCTGAGGCAGAGAGGCCGAGTTGTCTCTCTCACCATCAGAACCTGAACATTAACACACACGGGTGTACATGCTTGGGAACAGGCTTACAGTACTCAGACCCAAATACTGTATATGCAGACATAGCCACACCATAGCCTTTTAGCTGTGGTATTTGTAAAAGAGGGCCTGGGTTACTCAGTGATGATGAATGGTTAACATAATATGTTACTAACTGGAACTAGCTATACAGACAATTCAGGCCGTCACAATATGCTTAGTGCACAAATTCACATGGAAAAGCTGTCATGAACTGGCTATAGGATGAATCACCACTGTACAATATCTATTATAATTTTTATTAGCAATCAGAAGCAGCAAATAGTCAGACATTTATATGAACAGGCTGCAAATTATTACTTTGGGAACTCTATGCCATGCTGCAGTGTGGTGTTAGATTTGTTATGAAGCCACTGTTCATTATATCAGATCAGTTTAACCCATTTTTCAACTCCAGTGCTTATTAGGCCCCCCTATATCACAGTCTTACACCACATGCCTGGTGACAACTGACAAATTTAAGAGTTTCTACACTTCTTCATTGAAAGCCAAGTTTAGGCTAAAAGGCTGTCAGAAATAACAACATCAATCGCCATGATCAAATAAAAAAAACAAAAGCTATTACACCATTGCCCTGTGGAGATAAACACTACCTTAGGTCTGCAAAAGGTGATGAAGTCTAAACAGATCTCCTGCCAAAACGCCACAGTGGAGATGAATCCTCATTTTTCACCCTGATGGTAAACAACAGCAAGGCAGTCTGTTTGTCTGTGAGTAATTGGCATTTATTAGGTTGCCTCCTTCTCAAGAAAAAACCCATTATGTCTTTATAAAATCAGAGGTTTCGTCAATCAATAGCTGTCATAAGGAGCAGTGTGGTACCCCTACTTTGTCGTAGCAAAGTTTGGTTTCTTTGTTAGCATTTGGGAGGAACAGAGCTCACGCTTCATTAAAGAGTCATCAGTTAAAAGGACAGGACAGCTAGCCCTCCGCTTGGTGGATTCAGATTCTGCTCAAGTCTGCGCTCTGCCTGCCTTTCCTCCGTCATCTCTTGATTTTGCTTTAGGACAAGAATCTGAAAGGTCATGCAGCAGTTTATCTCTTCATCCATTCCTCTTTTATACAGTATCTTGCTCTTTGCTTGTCTCCCTTCTTAGGGAGCCTTTTGTCCCAGAAACTGTCCTCTGTATTTCTCTTTTCTCTTCTCCGCTCTCTCTTTTACCCTTACTTTCATTTGCTCTTTCTGTTTCTTGTTTTCTGTCAGGTCCTCGTTTAGTTTGAATTCATTCAGGCAGCTCTGTGATTTCCTCTTTCCACCCTCACTTCTTTCATCTCAGACATTTTTAAGAAATGTTTCCTGTATTTCCGCCCTGACCAGTATAATGGAAAATTTAGTATTGATGCAGGCAACATCAGAAACTGCCACATATCTTTTGCCTTGGTAATACACTTTCCAATCTCCCTTGCACATGAAACATAAAGAAATTAAATATCACTTTTATAACTTGTTGGTATATTTAAGTCACGAGTGAAATGAGCTGGCAGGTGGAAGAGGTTAACTTCACACCATATCACTCTGCTTATTTCTTACTATCCTGCTGTTTTACTTACTGCTTCAGTAAAAGCAGAACATTGTGCAATATTTTAGTATACAACTGTCAAGAATGTTGAGTGACAAAGCCTTTGTTCACTGACCTAACTCTATAATATTCAGCAAGCAGAATTGACATTGCAGTACAGAAGTGTACACCACTCCTTTACACTAGCTCTCTGTTGCTCCCTTTCATCCAGTTTGAGAGTCTGGTGCTGGCCGACAGCGCAGTGAATGGAATACATTCTGGTGTAGTGCGGTTAGGATGCATGCTATATCCTAGTTCAATTCCAGCTGGAATGCATGTTGAGCTGCTCTCTCGCAACCTACTATAGGTTCCCTTTTTGTATCTACACTGTCACTATAGCAAAATGCCAACAAAATTACCTTTAAAGATATGTTTGAGATAATTTAGAAATAGTGTATCTGCTTTTTATACTCTCAAATATTGGTAATGCCTTCAAACTCGGGGGGATGTGGTAGCAGATACACTTATCTTTTTACAAGGCAAATAAACATCATTATTCTGACTTGGAAGAAAAGGTTCTTTATGGTAGCATTGCACGTCATGCTTATTATATAAAATATTTTTATCACTGATACCACAGAATGTAAATTTTCACTGCAGTAAATTACATAAAACATAAAAAGGTAAAAAAAAAACCCAAACATTTAGACCCAGGAAAAAACATTGTAAATGGAAGATATAAAGCACACTTGTAATTTAAGCCTACTCTGTTATTCTCATGGAAGATATAACGTAAGTGATTTAATAATTAAAATCTTCTGCATATAAAAAGGAATTCAGTGTTTTGTTCTAACAGATGTATTTCCATAAACACATGAACAGATGTGCTTTATTTAGAAAGATGGTTGGGCACCATCTCCCTGTCGGGTCCAATTACCCACAATACAGTTTACCCCTAACATTGCAAGTGGCATCATCAGGTATGTGTGTTATAACCTCCAGTGGTATTTATTATGGAGCTTGCTCAACTGATTAAATTTAAACAAAAATAACATTAGATGAAAAATACGTCATTATATTGTATCATTTGAACACTACATGTGTTGACGCTAGTTAGCATGCAAAAAAGCTAATGCTACAGCCAAAATGAATAAACTGTGGCTGAAATAGGTAGCCTAATGGATAAATGGCAAAATAGATAAAAAATAAAGGATTAATTGGTTGAAATAGTTAGCTTAGAGTAATGGATAAATGGTTGAAACTTTTAGCTCCTGCAGAACATTGACAGTTCAATTGTATGAAAACATTTTTAACAATATCAGCTTTCATATAGATATAGTTAAATAGCATCTGGTTTAAAATAATTTTAAATTCAAATTAACAAATCTGAAACATGACGGGGTACTTGAGTTAATCAGGGCTGTGAGGGTACAAGTGGCAAAGAAGGTTGGGAACAATTGTTCTTAAATATAATCTGAAAATAAAAATTGCCATGTAGGCTGATTGTTTGATTTTTATTTTGGGGGGCTTAAGGCTGCACTGTAAGCAAAGATGTATAATTAACAACATGCTTCATATGAAATGCAATGTAATCTGGATCAAACCTACCCGGTGCCAACTACAGCAGATTGGCAGGAAAAGGAAGAGGGGGATACTGTTGTTCATCTGCTTTACAGCCAACTGTGCATTTGCTGTATTTCATGATCTTTCTGCATGTCTCTTTAGAGGTAGCCCAGACAGTAAAATCAATTGGCCAGAGTGGTGAAGTTTTGGATGAGTTTTAACTGCATCGTGGGAGCGATAAAAATCGAGTCCAGGAATGTCGTAGTTGTTTTTGTTGCTGCCTTTATGGGACCATAACACCACTGCAGTAATCTCCCTATCTCTTTTATCTTTGCCCACAGGCAAACAGACGTGCCCTCCAGAGAAATTTGACTGTGGGGGATCCACCAACAAGTGTGTCTCGTTGTCATGGAGATGTGATGGGGAGAAGGATTGCGAGAACGGGGCGGATGAGGAGGACTGCGCATCTGGTGAGTGTGTTGAAGTCGTCTGCCAGTTCTCTAAATACGTGAACCGTTGTTTCTGGGGTTTTTACTTGCCTAACCCTTGCATGCTAACTTTATTTCAAGAGGCTGTTGTAATTCAGTAGTGGCAATGACATATGTGTAGCAGTGAATGACTTGACGAGGCTCACAGTCATTAGAATAAGAAGAAGTCAGATTCCTTCCTTTTTTGTATTTTATGGGGTTTCATCCTTCGTGATCTCACTTAGCATCCAGAGGCTTGGGACATTAAAGCACAGCAGGGAACACTCTATATAATTAGAGGGATTTGAAGCGAGGTTTGAGTTTTAAGCCAGCTGCACTCGACAACAAAGTCCCCTTTGATGTGGAATGATTTATGGTGTGGAATATCAAATATTTGCAGCTTTCTTCTGATATCTGGAGGTTTCAGTCATCACATTTTGCACCTTGAGTCTTTAGCCTTTCCACTCCAGGGCCCTCAGAACCATCAAAAATGACAACGCCTCCTACCCAGCCAATCAGACAACTCAACCATGTGTTGCCCCCACCCCCCACCCCCTGCAGGGACTATCCTTGCCCTACTTCTGAGGTGCCGTGAAGAATTGGCTTCTTCTTTTCTCTCTCTCCCTTTCCTCTTCGCGTCAAGAAAAATTGATTGAGGCAACAGAGCTGTAGGGTGTGTGGTGTTCATACTTTGAAGATTGTACAAAATGGCACAGAGAAAGACAAAAAAAAATCTCCTTATTATCCTATATAAATGATGCTGTTTGTTTTTTCAGACATCTGTTCCCTGTCAGTTGTGTGTTTGTGTGTGTGGGCGCTGTGATTGTGACTGGCTGGTGTCTAAGCAATTTATGTTTATTTGTTATGAATACAAACCATTTTTATTTAGAGAGGACAACAAATCAATTTGGCATCAAATTAAAACATAAATCACAGAAATTGTCTTCTTGGATAGATATTTACCCTCTCCTCCTTGAAAGATACCTTTTAATTTGTCATGCAATAAAGATATTTTTCCCAGGTCAGCCAGCAAGTGGCCTGTCACTGACTCCCCATCTCCCCCTCCACACACTCATGCCAGAGCAAGCATTGACTTTAGATCTAATGCCTTCCAAGCTTAGATGGCTTTTCACTGCACTGTCCATTGAGACCCAGTCTTGCCTGTGCTAATCCTTTTTTCATTCTAATGTCTGTATTGATGCAGCAGTCTTAAGCCTCTCAGTAGTGACATGAGGGCAAGCAGCAAGCTGCCACCCACCCAGGCAAAGGCCAAAATCCCTTCAGAGGTAGCCATTGCCCAGCTTGACCAGGAGGGAGAAGTTGAGGCTGACACCAGTGCAGCACAGTGCTACATAACATTGCAATTTAGACCTATTATGTGCTGCTCAGGCCAGTTTATGTGAAGATTTATTAGGCTCAATGCCAGCCAGAAAGACAATGTCTAAATCAAGGGCAAGAAGCTTTTAAGTGTTACCTCAGTACAGATCAATCTGAAGTTACCAAGCATTGATTCTGCAGTGTTTTGTTTGTTTTCCAGCCCAGTGATCTGAGGAATGATGTTCATATTAGACATTTCTGCATTACATTTATGTCCAATACCAAGGCTCATCTCAATGCAGGCAGAAGTGTGATGTTTATAAAGCTCAATGAAAAAAGTGAGGTTAACCTCACCCCATATTTCCCACATTGTTTCTTATTAGAAGTTAACAAATGTTGTTTTTAATAACTAGGAGTTGCACTTTTTTAACGATGTGTTTAATGTCTAAAACTAACCAGACCTTACCTATAGTGCCATGCCTTGCAATTATGGGAATAAACCGTAGAAAAGCATTCATGGTGAATATTCAAATGTTTTACAGACTTGTCATATCAGCATTGTCAGTGGTGAGTGTGCTGTATAGTTACATATTGTAAGTAACACAAACCCTGTGTAAATACAAACTTAAAAGAAGTTATAATTCAAGGAATTAGAATTGGGCACGGATGATCTTTTCCTTGTGCATCAAAAACACTGCGTCACGTTTAACTACCACAGACTAAAGGCTTAGATCTTTCACATTTACAGTCATGAAGTGAGGCGAGGGAGAAGTGGTGAAAATTACCAATTGGTTTGAGTATGTCTCAGTATGTTGGTCCGTCGTGGGCTAGCTGTTGGCACAGGGGCAGCTGGAAAATTCACTTCAAAGCAGCATTAACTTGCCTGAGTGTTTGGGTTTAGTGGGAGAAGATGAATGAATTAAGATGTGTAAAATGATGCAGCCGCAGTCGCACAAGATCGAGAATAAAGCTATTTTATGAACAGTGAATGCAATCCAGTTTGTTCCTGCCAGCCAGCCAGAAAAGGGTCTGCTGCAAACTTTAGTGAGTCAGGCTGCAAATGTAGTTGCAAATCATCTTTGGGTGCAGTTAATTCAAAACAATGTTGAAAGGACTCCCCAGGTGTGAGAAAAAGAAACAAAAATGCTGATACAATGTCTTGTTCAAGATAAAACTCTGTGGCTCGGTCCTCTTTTCTCTTTACACCTCTTATGGGATTAACTGTGCAGGCTTCCATGTGGAGTGTAGGGGGGTGCTCATTCAGATGTGCTGTTTGGGTAGTCAGTGAGTGGTGCAAAGCCCCTCTCAAGAGATATGGGATCTGCATTGCCTAATTTTCCTACCTACCAAAACCAAAAAACTCCCAGGTATGCCCTGTTTTCCACAGCAATTGGCCAGGTGTGCACAGGTTTGAAAATGGGCATAGCTTTAAGCTCTGGTCTGTTGCATGCTTTCAAATGAGTTCAGGCTGACGCATAAATCATTTATTGGAGAGTTTTGGTGACCTGACATGCGGCAGGCCTGTGTGGACCTGCCAGGAAAAATCAAAACTAAGGTTATTCCCATGACTGTCACACCAAGTAATGCTCTGCGCCTTATGGCTTAAAAAAATCACCAGGAAATAGTTGGTAATTAGAAATATTAGTTGTCTCTGCGACTGGTCATAAAAAGTGAAGTTTGAATGTCATTACTTTTGTTTGACGAGGATCTGCTAAGTATTCATATGTTTCGTTTAGCTTTTGAACTCATAAACTCACAAAACCACCATCACGCAATTCTTTAGTTGATCCTGTTTCCGTTTACACCACAACCGTGTTTGTTTTGAATGACGGCGCTCATATCAGCCTAAACAAACCAACCAAACGGGAAATGCACCAGGTTTAGTTGGGGCTGCACTGAACTGATGAGATGTCAAAGCACCTTTAGCATGAGCCTGCTTTTTGTTATCTTTCACACTCACGCATGTTTAAGATTAATCCTGCTTACAGGGAGCAAAACATTCAAACTCACATCACACGTTTCCTTGTGTTTACCTGGATGTGAGTCGAGTTGAGCTGGAGCGTACCAAGTTCGCCCCAGCGCCCTCCTATTAGTAGAAATTTACAGAGTGCATAGCCCGCTGCAAACTTGAAAAAATAAATCTTACAGAGGCATCCTGCTAATTGAGTCATCCACATGTTGAATTATGTATTAAGTAGAATCTAGCGCTCACCAGAGGAAGCGTTCCCTGATCAACATTACATTAAGCAGCAGTTCTAGAAAGGCTCCGCAAAAAAGGTGAACTGTCTTCAACCCTCAGCGATGTGGAGATAAATGTGCACTTACTCACCGGGCTTCTCTCCTGAGTGCGCCTGTCTGCTGGGATCTACTGCAAGGCACTGAAGCTGATCTGGATTTGTGTATTTTTATGTGTGTTTGCACTGAAAGTTTGAGTTGACTGCCTGGCGTGTGCATATTCTATTTCTGTGTGGTTATATTTTGGCAGTTTTTCTTTATTCATATTTAACACTGCTTGGATAGTATGAGGCAAACAATTACTTCCTGCACTCCTCACAGCTGTCTCCCTGCCCCTGAAGTGAAACCGAACTAGCAGAAACAGTGCATCCCCATTGATGAAGCTTTTACACATTTTAATTCCATTGACAAAATTTCTGTCTAATTTAAATATTCTAATTTAGCTAAAAAGTGATTTTTCTGTCTCATCTCAGCACTCATTCTTACCCCCTTTGCCCTCCTCCATTGGCTCACTCCCCTCTTGTCCTCTGTTATCTTCCCTTGGTTGTTACTGTAGATGAGAGAGTTGTTTCTTTATAAAGGCTGTGTTTCCTCTGGATATGTGTGTGGCTTCACAGGAAAGGTCAGCCACGGAGCTATTTCCCTGGTGAGCTACTGTGGCCCATCTTAACAGGAAGTGTGAGTGTGCGTGTGTTACTACTACTCTCTATGCTTGTCTTCAGTGGATGGTTTGTGTGTATGTGTGTGTGGGTGTGTTCCAGTGACCTTGCTGCAGTGACTGTGGCTGCATTGGACCTGAGCTCTCTGAAGGTCAGATCTGAATTGTCCCTTCAGTTTAAATCTATGAATATCTATGAGAAAGCTGAGATTACATTAAGGTGCACAGACAGTGACTGATGTTCTCAGAGGTATTTGTGCATATGCAGAAAAAAAAATGTAAACAACAGTTTCGGCATGCTTACACAACCTGGATATCTTTCTTTTCATCTTTCTCCTTCTTTCCCTCTTCCCACGCTAAAGAAATTCTTTACCTTCATTCTGTCTTTCCTTCATGCACCTGCAATGCTTATATGACTACAACAACCAGTCATCTCTTTCCGCTACATCTGAGCTACTGTTTGCTGCTGGCAACAATCTCACATCAGTAAAGCGCAGAAAAAGCAAAGTGAGTTAAGCTGCCAGCTTCTGACTACCATGGCTAGAAAAGGTTCTCCTGCCCAAGAAAGGAAGACAAAAGTTTTGTTTGCCTTGAAAAGAATAAAGGTAGCCGTCCTGTCTGGAGAAAATAAAGTGAACTCTTTTGGTAATAAACAGTAAAAGTAAACTGAGAAATAGACCCCTTAATGCCGATTGTCGCAAATTTGCATCAAACCTCTTCCTGTCAGACTGCAGCTGAGATATCATATGTATTCCCCCAATGCCTGTTTGCGCATATTCAATATGTACCTGGG